GCATAGTATATGTATATATTATTCAGTACAATACATTTATATGTAAAAATTTTGCAATTTAATTCATGTTAAAATTGTAAAATATTCGATGTCATCATTTGTAATGTTTTACTTTTTTTTTCTATTTTTTTGACCTATTTTAATTCAAATTAAAAATTTTGAAATTAATTTTTTTTTTTTTTTCAATTTTATAGGATATGTCATGGCGTGCTTTGATGAAAATGAATGAAGCATCAAATGATGAATATCATTGGATACCTGTGAAAATTTTACGTATAACAACACAAATAGTAGCTGGTGTCAAATATATCATTGATGTTCTTATAGCACAATCAAATTGTACCAAAAATGTTGGCAAAATTTTATAATTTATTTTTTATTTTTTTTTTGAAATAGAAAAGAATACATTAACATTATATGATTTTTATATTAATCATTTAAGCAACAAAATTTATGCTTCTTTTACATCAATACTTTTTATGTGTGAAATAATTAAACTTTCTAAAATTAAATTAAATTTTTAAAATGGAAATGTTGGTGTAAAAAAAAAAAAGAAAAAAGAAAACAAACAAACAAACAAAAAAATTCCTTTACAATTAATTAATTAATATTGTTCAGGTTCAAAATGTATGAGAATATTTTTTAGTAGAAAATGAAGAGAAGATAATTTAATTTATACCTCTGAAATGGTTGTAAAAACCATTCTCATACATTTTATAGATTAATTTTTGCAAAAAAAAAAAAGAATCAGTACCTTTTTCGAAGGTTTTTTTTTGAATTATCATTTCATGAATTAACTCTAATTATCTTTTATTCATTATTATATAGAGGAAAAAGAAAAAAAAAAATGAAATTTCAGTTGGTTTCTCATAATGACATACGAGTTGCGGGTTGCAAGAAAACTGCAAGTCATGAACAGCAAGTAATTATTTAATTTATATATTTCGTTTTGTTATAATAACAGATTAAATTACTATTCGAGTGATATGATAAGTGATCAAAGCAACGGCAAATTTTATATGATTTCCAATCAGGCTTATCACAAATTAATCATCTATCGATAATCTAGAACAGTTGATCAAAAAAAAATTCATCTAAAGCAATCATAGAATAATCGATTAGGAATTGATCATCTAAAATAAATAATATGATAATTGGTTAAAACAATAGCAGATTATGAATTTAAATTAGAATTCATAAAGACTAATAAACTAGACGATACTTCCAATATTAAGCGTTTAATTATTTTGATCTTAATTAGATTAGTATGCAATTGAAGATTAAGATAAGCGTCAATTAAGCCTATTAAATTATATTTCTATCATAGTACGACAAATGTAAACAGCTAGTAGGCGAAAAAAAAGGTTTTGTGGTTCAAATCATTTAGCATAAAGTGATATATATATATATATTTATCATTTTAGCTTCTCTGACAATTCTCGTGGGAATTTCAGAATTTTCCTTTTTTCGATTTAGGAAGAAATTGTTTATATTTTGTAATTTTTCAAAAAAAAAA